CAAACAATTTCATCCACTAATTGTATTGTTGGAATGAGACATAGCAAGACTTGCGTTGGCTACTAAGAAAGTTAGTAGCCGGTGGTCATCGGGTTAAGGAAAAGCTTGATAAATATTTGAATGATATGGGTTGTCTTTGAGTTTTTTAGTGTTTAGTATTGTGTATAGGACAGCCTAGATAGACTGTAATGGACCTTTAATGTTAAGTCTCAGTTAGTTACTCTAGTATATTTGTAAAGGCATTTAAAAAAGGGCCATAACTTAATACTACTGAGAATTAATTTTGGGAATGATATTATAAGTAGATCACTAAAGCTGAACACTGAGCTTAGGTCAATATGTAAGGATGAGTATTTTGAACAGATTGGACTTGTGGGATTAGTTTGATGGGAAAGGGAAAGCTTTTTGGAATGGATGGTTACATTTAAATAGGGTAGGGCTGGTATGTTTGCAAGGACTGTTATCTCAGCTTTAAGGGCAGCTTTAAACTAAGGACAGGATAAACTAAATGCAGAAAAAATATCATGTGGAGAAAAGTATAGAATTATTTATAGAATTAGTTTTAATGGTAAGTTGAATTGTTACTGTTGTAATGATAGAAGTATAAGAAATATATCAAATGAACTTGCACACTAGTCATAATGGAGGATTTTGATATAATTGGAATAAATGAAACTTCATAAAATGTAGACAGTTTTGATTATAGATTTTTCTTTGAAGTACAGGGTTATAGGTTATTTAATAGTGATGGAGTACTAATAAAGAGGGGAGGTGTAGCCTTATTTGTAAAATGTGAGTACTGTCCTGGAGAAATTGAAAATGTCAAAGTAAATGGCAAGGAAATTGAATATGTAGGGTTTCAGTTAATGGATATAGGGGGAGAAAGTGGAATTTGTTACTGACCACATGATGAAATTAATGAGAAACTCTACAGTGAGAATACAATTTTAGCTGTTATTGAAATTATAATTGTGGGACATTTTAATTTCAGACATGCTGTAGACTTGGAAATGTTAGAAACCTACTTGGTGCAATGCTATTTTAGTTTTATTATTAACTTCCAATAGAAAAATTATTGAGAGTGTAGAGACTGGGGAGTATGTGGGTGCAAGTGATCATTACTCAGTTAAGTATTATGTGGAAATGAGATTTTAGATATAAATAAAAAACAAATTTTGAGTAATGCAGAAATGATTATCTGTTGTGAATTAGGACACTGAATTAATTGGAGGTACTGATCAAATGTGGAGAATTTTAAAAACTAAATTTTTCAGTATTCAAGATAATCACATTCCTTATGGACAGGAAAGGAGGCTGTAAGCAAAATACCAGGTTGGTTCACAAAGAATATAAGGAATGAAATTAAATAAATGCATTGTACATTTAAGAAGTTTAAGTTGACCATCCTGATGGAAGATTTGGAAAAATACAGAAGGTCATGAGCTGATCAAACAGGGCATTAGAAAATCAAAAAGGGTATATGATAAAAGGTTGGCTGAAAATGTAAATATTAACACTAAGGATTTTTTAAAAAACATTTATATATAAGCAAAATGTTAAGATGGGAGTATGGACTTTGAGTTATGATAAAGGAAATCTCATTTCTAATAACTGTAAGATAAATTAGGTACTGAATTTTATTTTTCCAAGTTTTTACTAAAGACCATTTAAGTAATATTTCTCACCCTGAACCATTGCTAGATGGAAGAACAGGATCAAACAAGATGATTAATTAATTCTGAGCTTGTTTTGAGAAATTTGGAAAGTTTACAGACTGATGAGACTCTTGGACCATATAATATTTCTCCAAGGATTTTGAAGGAGGTTAAGGATTGGATAAGTGACCCACTTGCTCACATTTTTTTTAAGTCTTTCAATAGTGGGTAGATGCCAGATGATAGAAAATTGACTAATGTTACTCTTCTTTTCAAAGGAGGTGATAAAAATCAATAGGGGGAAAATATTGTCTTACTAATCTTTTGACATTCCTTGAAGAGGTTATTGCTAATGTGGATTTTGTGCATCTGGATTTTTAGAAAGCATTTAACAATTTGCTGCATAAAATGCTTGTTAAAAAATAATATTTATAGGTGTGGGGGTTAAATTGGCTCAATGGATATAAAAGTGGCTAGAAGGAAGAAAGCAGAAGGTTGTTATAAATGGAGGTCATTTAAGCTGGATTAATGTCACAAGTGTTCAAGGCTCAGTGTTTAAGAACTTTGCCTTTTTTAATTTATGCCATTCAATAAATTACTTGAATTTGTTGATGATATTAAGTTATTTGGTGTTGCTTGCTGTGAGAAGGACGTTGCTACTTTGCAAAACATTTGAATTATTTAGTGAGTTGGGAAAATAAATGGAAAATAGTTTTTCATTATAATTAATACAAGGTAATACATGTGAGTTACCATAATTTAATTTATAAATGTGATTTTTATAACAATAATCATTACAGAAATGGACCTGTATGTTCTGCTTGATCAACTTCTTAAGCCATCCAAGTAGTATGCTATTGCTAGTGATTTGGCAAATGCAATTTTAGGTTGTATCTACAAAAATATGAAATATGTCTAACAAGGTTATAATTTAATTGTATTGGTCATTTCTTAAGCCACATTTGAAATACAATGTTCAGTCTTAGGCTTCTTATTTTGGGAAGGACATTGAATTTTTGGAAAGAGTTCACAGGAGGGCTACTGGGGTGATATCTGGAATGGAAAGATTGTTATACAAGGATAGGTTATAATCTCTGAAATTGTTTTCTGTAGAAAAGAGAAAAGTTAGAGGGGATCTGATTGAGGTGTTTAAGATTGTTAAGGGAACTGGTAGTTTGACAGAGCCATAAAAATCTGCATTGGAGACCAAAACGAATAATAATTCAACTTCATTGAAAAGGTTTTTAAACCATGGTTACCCTACCAGCTTCATCTCACTCTCCAGAAGTTCCCATCCTCAACAAGATAACAAAACAAAACAAAATTGCTTTACCATATTTCCATAAATTAGGACAGAAATTCAAGAGTTCAATATAAGAGTTTATTTAAATTTTGTAAAACTCCTCCAGAACACCCTAATGAAAGTGAAACAACCCATCAACAACATAAAGCAAAAATAACTCATCTACAACATCTTTATGTGGTAGTATGTTTGGTTAATTTTTTTGTAACTATTAGATTTTGAAAAACAGATTCTGCAAAATGTATGTTTGAAAATATGAAAGAAAGCATTACATTTAAAGGCCAAAGTTTTATGTTGTTCAGATAAAACTGATTGGGTTGAATGATGTACTACTTCTAATTTTTTACATTAGCATAGCATATAGTCTCTTTGAGTAACTGAATAACGTAGTTACTTTGTTTTGGTTCACTAAGGGCGAAGTTGATGATATTTTTACTCTGTTTTGCAGGAGCTGGAGAATCTGGTAAAAGCACAATTGTTAAACAAATGAAGTAAGTTTCTTTCTTTACTGTAAGTTAAGGCTAAATCATTGTGATAAAATATACAGACAGACTTAAGTAACAAAACAGTGTCATCAATCATTGCTTTATGCACTTCAGGAACAAAGTACATTTAATGTCATAATCCATAACTTTATGCACATGATGAACAAAATAATATCACAGTATTTTGCATTACATACTTATAGAACACAAAACAGTATCACCATTTATTGGTTTTATGACATGACGAACACAAAACAGTGTGATCATGTACTGTAGTGTTGTGCCAGTTGCTAATTAATTTAATAGTGCCAATCTCAGGTAACTTAGTGTAGAATATGTATGCTTCAATTGCCTAGAAGAAAATGTTAGTTATTTCATACAATTTGTTTGTTTTTATATAATTTGACATAGACTAGTGTTTATGCAGTTCTTCATATTTGTTAGGAAACATCACATCAGTGCTCGAAAACACCCATAAAATGAATCTTACGAGTGTTTGTTAGAGCCCCAAACAAGTCTGTCACAACTTCTGCTGTTTTTGGCCCACAACTGGTTCTTTTATTCTTACTAAGAAATAAAAACATTTTTGAATTCCGATCCTGTTATTATTTGTCATGGCATTGGTCATGCAATCAGCTGTTGTTTCTATACACGGACAAGTTCACATATAACTTTGTGTGTCCCTGTTGACTGCTAAGACTGATACTTTAATTCTAATTGACATAGAGTAGCGATGTTACATGTGCTGTAATATGTCATTTATGAAGTATATTGTTGTATAGAGACATCAAATATTTGTAACTGAAAAACTAAGTCAATGTTTTAAAGTTTAAATTACAAAACTTGATATTAATTATTAGCAAGTTCAAGTTTTAGTAAATTTGATTCTGACCCGAACTGCATTTGATGAACTACTTTCACAAGGCTGAAAGAGCTGCTGTGTTAATTTAAGGTCATAGTTCAGTGAGAAGCTGTGAACATGTCTCAACTTACCCAGCAAAACTCTGTTTTCTTGACTGAAAAGCAGTACAATTCAGTCAATACAAGTAACTTTTATTGTCCAGTTTTGTAGACAAAGAATCAAGATATGACATCAGGCCACAAACAGCCTCTGTGGACTGTTTACAGCCCTCATGTTTTTCTCAAATGTGAAGGACTGATTTATGTTATGAGTTGATTGAGGAAGAAGAATTGTAAATGGTGCATTATTTAAGCTTTTATATTTCATTTTTGTTACTTAATTATCATCTTGAATTCTTTAAATTAAATAATTCACAAATTAGAAAAACTTTGAACTCCCATAACAGTCAATACACAAATATTTCTTCCCAGCAACCAATATAATGTAGAAATTTAGATATGGATATTATTAACATCATAGTTGATTTTCACACTTACATGACATAAAATAATTCATAATATATTACTTAACACACTTGTGTACTGGTGAAACAACATTTTCTGTTTGTATTTGAATTATTTAAAGATCAGTGGTTACCTATTATTCGTTCTTTTTCTGTAGAATTATTCATGAAGCTGGTTATTCTAAAGATGAATGTCTTCAGTACCGACCCGTTGTTCATAGTAACACCATTCAAAGTCTGATGGCTATCATAAGAGCCATGGGTCAGTTGAAGATTGACTTTGGTGACCCAGTTAGAGTGGTAAGTTTGTTTCATAGTAATATTTTCCTGACGAAACTAATGTGTACGATTTTTTTTTAATTCAAATATTTTAATCAGCTCTTTGATTTGAGAGTGGTATGCATGGTGTGCCAGATGAGTGTGTTTTGTATCATGAATAACAAACCCATGACTGATATTTTGCTTCAGCTTCCTTTGGGTTATTGCCTATAGATTACACATTCCTTTGGTTCTTTTCTTTCTTGGTTCTGATAATGAAAATATGTCTAAATACATTAAATGTTATATTAAAAGCTTAAATTAATAAAATTATGTACAATTAAAATTTATTGTGCAAGATATAACATTTTAAGAAGCTACCTGGTTTTCAGTTCTCTGATATACATCTTATTTTGGCTTTGTCTTTTTGCTAATAAAGAAAGCAAAAAGCTGTTAAAACATTAGAATTTCTAGTGTAATATTCACCATTTTGTTAAAAAACTTCCCAGTTTTGTGTAATAAAAGAAACAACTTATTTTAGTTTTAGCTATTTGCTCTGCTATTACTTTAACTTTTTCAGCATGGGTTTGGTCCCAGGGACTGACCTCGTAACCATTTTGTGCTTGTTATAGTTTCATGCTTTTCAATTAGTAAGCGTATGTTCACGACATTTGGCAGATTATCAGTAAACATTACAATGCTTTCGCATGCAAAATATAAATTTTTTCATTTAGTCTTAAGGTTTGTTAAGCAGTGTTTTTCTCATGTCTTTTTTTTTTATGCATCAAAATTCCTTATAATGTCCAGATAGTTATCAAAGACTTCTTAAGAAAAAACTATATTTTATCTGTTATTTTCACTAACGAATCTCTGTACGGGTTTGGTCAATTTGACCAATCTCATAATTGTCATAAAAAATTAGAAAATAAATATAAATTATGTATTTTCATTCTAGAATGACTACAAATTATAACACGAAAACATAAATGTTTAGACTAAATAGCTTAAATCTCATAACATTATTATATTGACCTTTCAGTCGTGCCTGGCTAACATTACAGAAGTCACAGTGATGCGACAGACGTGCAATCATGTTACCATATCCAATAATATAAAACTGACTTATAGTCTTTACAAAGTGACTTGTCTTGGCTGTGTTTTTGTGGACTAGTATTTTGTAAAATACAGTCACATTTCAATTATTATGCATTATATATATATATATATATATATAGATTATTACTATTTAGAAATAAGTTCTTAAACTTATTTTTCTTAAAAAAAGCAAACAGTTATCTCTTCTAGCTACAGCTTTTGTACTAGGTAGCAGCTTGTTGGTGCTTGCTTAAGCCTTAAGAAATTTTACATGTGGAGGATGTGAAACGAAATAATTTTTTTTGGTTTTATATATACATTTGAAATAACCAAAAAATCATAAATTCTATATCATTACCACAGAATTCCATTATAATTTATAAAGTTTAGTAACTAAGCTGTATTTGGTTTTAAAAATATATGAAATTTCAAACAGGCTAAAAATTCAATATACCTAGCACAAAGTTATGTCTTGAAAGAAAGAGATGATGCCGGTATATTTGAAAATGGCTGAAAAAAACCACTAGGGGGACATTCTGGGCTCTCAATTGGTTATTCACGTGTCATACTTAGAATTAAGTATATATAAGAGACTTTTTCCAAAAAATGGAAAGAGGTGAGTGGGTCTACTGTGTTTGATTCAGTATATGAGTTATATCTCGGCAAATAGAAAAAATAGGAGGTTCTTATTTTATATTCTAGTTTGACAATATCAGTAATTTGAGTTCCTTAATCGTACATAACTATATACTTTGTATTTTAACAAACTGTACCCTACTGTAGTGACATACTTTAATGACAAAAAGGAAAAGGTAGTAAATGTATTACTATTTTATCCCTTTAATTTGAAAGTCAATGTGTGAGAATATTGCAGGACTCCTTCCAGAAAAACTAGCTTCAAAGTCCTTAAAGTGTGAAAATAGTGCATCATTGGCTGTTGACAATGCAAATGTACAACAGGGAGAAAGGAGTTGCAGGTTGTTTTATAGAAACTTAACCCTGAAATGTCGCCTCTTTCATTTGGCAGCAGAAAAAAGCAGCAAAGAAGTTACAGTATCAATTTGAATAAATTCTTGTTGACATTTATTACTATTTGGACAAGAGTGCAAATAGGAAACAAGAACTACTTAGAGAATTTCAGAATATGTGTGATGTGGAGACTCAAACTATTCTGAAGCATGTGTGCACATGCTGGTTGCCTCTTGGAAAATGCTTACAAAGTTTAATTGAACCATGGAGACCTTTGAGGCAATACTTTGTAGCCAAACATGATGAAATTTATGTGAAGGCAAAGTCGGTTCCATGCAGATCAGAGGTATTAGTGGAGAGAGTTATTGTTTAGAGAAATGCAAAGAAAAACATCCAACCAGAGACAGTCTCTCAATGTGTTTCCTGGGCAGGAATCTGGATCTTCTTTGGATGGTTCCTCTAAGAAAGTAGCAGACAAAATTGCAAAAGCAAGTGAGAAGGTACAGTACACACCTGACACCAAGTCACCATGAAACACTTGCTTGTGAGAGGGGAGACTACCAGTTACTTACAACAAGAAGATATGTTGTATATGCATTATTCCTGAACAATTATATTCAAATCTTTGACAAGTATAATTTGAAACTACAGTCTGAGGATCCACTCATCCATTGCTTTATTCAAGGATTTGTCAAGCAGACTTGTGACACCATATGCAATTTTGAATTGTTCAAATATTTTGGATTTGGATTTCAAAGACAGAAAACTTCAGTTAAAAAATGAGAATTTGGTAATTGGTTATGAAGTTGAGCTTTTCCTTGTAATGCTTTACAAAGGAAAACAGCTATCTTTTTATGAAGATGTAAGAAATTACTATGAAAGTGCATTGGAATGTAGGAAGGCTTAGCTTCCACTTCAGGACAAAACTTTGAAACATGCAGAAGTAGCAGACATATTTGTTAGAAAAAGTTGTTCTTTGAAATCGGTAAAGTACCTTGTTGGAAAATTCAAACCATTCATTGCAAGGGATGCACCTTGGTCCAGTACAATGAACTGTTTCCAGCAGCAACTTCTCACCTACCAGGCTGATCCATTAACTGGTGTAGATCTCAGTAAGTGAACAGACAAGTGTTGGTATAAAACTGGAAAAATAAAAGATGAGCTGTGCACTTTTAAATATGATAAACTCTCTATAGTAATGAAGTCTATGCTTGTAATACCACACAGCAATGCAAGTTGTGAGAGGGTTTTCTCGCTTCTCTGCAGAAACAGGACAGACTTTCGAGGATCAGTGTTAAACTCCACCTTAGAATCAGTGCTGATAAGGAAGATGGAGATGGCACAATATTACAACATTACCAACCGCCATTTTTAAACTTTCTCCAAGCTCTTGTTGTATATTAAAGAAATATGTAATTAAACGAGTTAATATAAATATATTCTAATAAAATTGATATTTTAAAATACATTATAATTTAAATTTTCATTTCATCTAACTTGAATTTCTCAGTATTTCAATTAAGCTGATATAACAGGAAGGAAAAGTGAAAGTTTGTACTTAAGGCTATGAATCTATAGAATTGACAATTTGATGGCTGCCTTTATACCTTCAGTCCCTCCGGAATTAATGTGTTCTCACTCAGTGTAATTTAGAGATCCTAAGATTAAGTTTTACAGTGTTGATAACCTTGAGATTCTTTTGAAATGCCGTAAATTTAAACCACATGTTAACTAGACACGTCCCCCGGCTGAGTACAAGCCAATCTGCAGGTAAGATCAATGAAGGGATTTTGTCTCACGTAAAAGGACCCTTTGTTCATTCAAGTTAACCAGTTTTTGGACATCAAAGTTTTAGGAATTTTATTCCAAATGTGTTAAATTTGCTTACTCTGTTAATGGAAATTGACAGGCATGCGAGATGTAAGTCTTATGTCTGGTAGCGCCAGATGACAGCAGAGAAGTTGCTGGTGGCCGGTGCTAGAAGCATCAGTTTGTTCTGAGAAGAGAGAGAATTGTTTGTGACTTAGTTTGTGCTAACTAAAAAATGTTTAAGTTGTTCATCTTTAAGAAAACCTCTCTCCATTATGGATAGATGTCTGAAGAAACATGCATCACACAAGAAAACCTCAAGTAATGCACAAATGCAGCCTAGTTCCAGTGGCATTGGTGATTATTGTGTGTCTTTGGGGTCCATGGGGGCTTGGCTCCAATAATTTCTGGATGTGTGGTAACCATAACTATGGATCCATGGGACTACAGGTCCTTCAGTAAGGGTTAGTCATTCAGTTCACATCTTCATCACCATTATCCACCCAACTTGTAGGGTTTTTATCTCCCACAGATCTTTGGATTTTGGAACTTAGTCCTATGGCTATCAGAATTTGATTGATCTGGGGGAAGATTTAGAGTCATGCTAGTTCTTCTGGGGTTTTATTCTCATCAGTTGTTGGGCCTAAGAAGACAAGAGATTGGTGTTTAGTTATCAATCATTCTCATCTATATCAATGCTTAGATTCTTCAAGGTTCACAAGTGACTCATTCCTCAATCTGAGTTGGCTTTTTTCAGTAGGATTGTGGATATCCAAGTTCGTTGTAGTTGGCTCCTATCTACATATTGCCATAGTGGTGGCATTCCACCACTATTGACATTTTTTTGTGCACAAGGGTTAGGTACTGCAGTTTTAGGTTTTTACCTTTGGATTAGCATTGGCATCACACAGCTTTTTCTTTTCACCTCTATTCCCTAGGACTGGGCACACACCATTTCATGGATGACTGGTTACTGCTTGCACAATCTTGTCAATTGTCAGAATGTCACACCCGGATTTTACTTTCAGATACAACCAAGGGAGGCTTCATTTTCACAGCTGAGACATCTATTCTTGCTGCAATTCGATATGTTGTCAGCCTGTGTGTTTTTTATCCTCTTATATCTCAACAAGGCTCAGTTGATTCCCATCTAGCTCCACACTATGGAA